GCATGGACGAATAAACAGTGAGTGCCTCAAGGACAGACGAGAGGCCTTCCCCCCTCCCCAGCGCCTAGTGAAAGCCATTACAGTCTAGCTTTCAAATTAGATTTCTGAGCATCGCTTTTCCTGTTTGGACCTGGACGACAGCCGGTTTCTGCTTACACTGGAAACACAGTATCTGATGCACCATCTATGAAAACCTCTGCACGACCCTGCTGAGGGACGGCCGTCAAGACAAACAGGTCATGAGGGTCCTGCTCACGGGGATGGGTGGCCAAGAGCCTCTCCAGCCTCAGGAGGAACCAGTGCTGAGTGTCAGCAAAAGCATCAGAGCGTGGGCCGCAGGAAGGGCAAGCAAAGTGTGGAAGCCAGAGCCAGGTTGGTGTGTGCGCCACACTCGTCCAAGTGAGCCAACCAGCTCCCCCTTGGAGGGACAGTCAGCAAGTGACAGGAAGACCCTGAAAGCATCAGGCCTCCTCTTTGCTGCCCAGGGTGAAGAGGAGCCCCTTGAAGCTTGGCAGGACTTGAACCCTTCCCTCTGGCTCCTCCCAAGTCCAAAGGAGGTCTGAGCTTCGCCCACCACCTGGGGAGCTCAGCTGCACGACTGGACAGCTCAAGGAGTGAAGTCAGTAGTTGCTGAGACAGTGACATTATCTCTGTGAGGGTTGTGACCCTCGGGTCCTACAGGGAGACACRAGGGTGGTTTGTGAGTCATCTGCACCAGCAGCCTCCCATGGGCCAAGATGGGATCCAGGGTGAGAAGGCCTTGGGTCCTCAGAGGGGGAAGGGCGGTATTCACATGTTGAGGCAGCATGGCACCTGTGCCTAGTGCAGCACCCTGGAGGCCACCGCCTGCCTCATACTCTGTCCCACTACATACTTCCTGTGTCTGACAAGCAGCCCAATGTCACCAGCCTCCTTTTCCACCAAGTATAAGTATAATTGGACCCATCTCCTAGTACTGTGGTCAGGATTAAATGATAGGATCCAGGTAAACTCTTACCCGTGGGCTCGTGGTAAGCAGTCATTGTTAACTCTTTCTCACTATCTAGTGTGATTTTTTTTTKTGTGTGTGTGTGTGTGTGTGTGCCAGGGTGTGCTTAACCACTAAGCCACATCCCCAGCCCTTTCTATTTTTTGATACAGGATCTGGCAAAGTTGCTTAGGGCCTCGCTAAGTTGCTGAGGCTGATCTTGAACTTTCGATCCTCCTGCCTCGGCCTCCTGAGGTGCTGGGATCACAGGCATGCACACGGCACCCAGCACTCTAGTGTTTTCACGGTGCCAGGTACTGTATCAAGCACTTTACAAGCATTACTTCGTTTAGTCCTTACACACACACTGGGAAGTTGGGTTCCTTTCACTGATGACAAACACAAGTGTGGAGAGGTTAAATAATGTGTCCAAGGTCACAGGTGATCAATGGACTCCCAAATAGCTGCTGTTTATTTATTTCCTGTTTTTGGAGGGCTGGAGGATGGATCTAGGACCTCATGCATGCAAGGCCAGTTCTACCACTGAGCTACACCCCACCCTCTAAGCACCTGCTCTGAAGTGGGTGCAGTGGCATATGCCTGGAATCCCAGCAACTCAAGAGGCTAAGGCAGGAGGGCTGCAAGTTAGAGGCCAGCCTGGGCAACTTGGCGAGATCCTGTCTCAACATTTAAGAAAAAAAAAAAACAAACAAACTGGTTACAGTGCTCAGTGGAAGAGCACCCCTGGAGTCAGTCCCCAGTACCAGTAAAACAAGAAACCCCTGCTCTGAACAACCCTTGCTCTTTCCTGTAAACACGTTCCAGGCCATAACCAAAGGTGAGGATTTTATTAAATACTAACAAAACTGAAATCCACTGGGAAACAGCGCATACCTTCACTTCGTTTGCTTTTTAAAATCACATRCTGTGGCGCTTAGTGACATAGAATGACGTATCTACTTTACCCTTTGTAAAAAGAACATTCTCCTTGGCAGGAGTATCTGCAGTCAGGAGAGGCTGGGCAAAAGGCTTTAATTCTTTCATTATGGGCTGGAGGCAGTAGATTTCTTCTTGAGGAGTCTTGTTTTTTTTTTTTTTTGTCCTGGGGATGGAACCTAGGCCTCACGCACGCTAGGCAAGCATTCTACCATTGAACTACATTGAGCTACGTCCCTTAGTCCTTATTTCTATTTTTCATTTTGATACAGGGCCTAAGTTGCAAGGCTGGCCTTGAACTTATGATCCTCCTTCCTCAGCCTCCCCAGAAGCTGGGATTACAGGGTGCACCACCACACCTGCATGTCTTCTCTTTTAGAGACTGATAATGTCTTGAACAGCTTAAACTTCTCTACACTCCTCCTAAAGCCCCAGTAACTCCTACCAGGCATTTTTTTTTTTCCTTTTTGAGGCAGGGTCTTGTTCTATTGTTCTGTCTGGTCACAAACTCCTGGAATCCTCCTTCCTCAGCTTCCTGAGTAGCTGGGACTATGGGTACAAGCCCCCATGCTTGGCTGGACATGTGTCTCCCAAGCCAGAGTACTACTGGCCTTCAGCTACGTTCTTTGACTGGACTGGGGAAGATGCTAACATTGCCCCTTGACCCCAGGGGCTCATGGGAGCCTAAGGTGTCTATCATGAGGCAGTTTAACCAGTGCCGTCAGTGGACAGCCGTAAGGAGGAGTCCAGCACAGGGGCTGGCTGCTCCAGTCTCACTGACCCTCTTGCCATGCACCATGGCTGCTGGAGCTCACCTGCCATTGGGCCTTCCTCTCCCTAACTAGCCACGAAACAGCAGACAGACTGAGAAATGAATGTGAGACTCTCAACCATCTCAGTGGAGTCGTTTTCCCTGATAATGTTCAAAAGTACGAAGTAGGCTGTGCAGCCACCCTGGCTGAGCAGGACAGACAGACCAGATGACCTCCAGATAGTGCTCAAAGCCAGTAAGAGAAGGCACCTCTCCAGTGGACCCCAAGAGATACTCTGCCTAAGCCACGGAGAGCTGGGCACAAGGTATTTGGCATATTAATTTTTAAGACTTAAAATGATGACGCAAGGAAACGGGGGAGAAGGGTAGAGCCTGTCCCAGGCCAGTTTCATGTGTCACGCGGAGGCCTGTGCAGGACTCACGAGACCACTTCAGACTGGCCAGGGGAGGCAGACACTCATGTGCCCAGGGCAGGCTCTGAATGAGGTCAGTGAGCGGTGGTGTGCCCACCAGAGAGGCGTGGGCCTAGCTGCTGTTCCACACGGCTCCTCCGGGGCTACTGGTCTTTGCTATATGTTTATTAATTTTTTGAAAATGTACTGTGGTCGGCCTAGTTTTACTTAATGCCTAATAAAGGCAAAAACTGTTGACATAGCACCCCTGGGCCTGACACTGAGCAGCTGAGGTTAGCAAGACCCTTCACTTTCAAAGATGACACAAGCCAGCAGCCTGGGAGGAAAACAATTCCTTTAGAAGCATGCCACTCCCAGGTGAAGTGGCAGCTGCTGAGCGTCATGTTAAATGTGACAAAATCAGGGTAAGAAGGGATCAAACCCAAGAGGGGAAAAAGCCCAGCGGCATACTTGGCTTCTGGGGTTTGTTGCATAATGTGCTCAGGATAAATGGGTAAGTCACTGCCGATTCATGTGCGCTCCTCACAGTCCAGATAGAGTTCTATATATAAACTCTGCCTGTTTAACATTCTACCCACGGTGCATCAGAAGAGACCCGAGAGAATGGCCAGTCTTTGGTAAGCTCCTGCTGCTGCCTCCCAAGTCTCATTCCCCTTCCTCGCTTAGGTGAGAGTGCTAGATTTTTCCATCAAAGGACCTGTTGTCACCAAGATCTGTTTTATTTCCAGTTTTCAGCAGCTGGTTAGAATCCTCTGTGGTTACTTTAATAGGCTCAGCTTTCTGACCTGCAGATGAGACTGCGCTGCCTGTCCCTATGATGACCTCACTGAAGATATGCCAGGCAATCTGTGTTCGGGCACAGGTTCTCGTCTCAGGCAGAAGCCAGGACCAAATGCTCACATTCATGTGTTCCAAGTGCATGCTGTGTGCTAGTGCCACAAAAGAGAGTGTGTGTTTCATCTCATCTGATCTCACCTATCCAAGACAGGAAGGATTACTGTGTCCAGGTTCACAGATGAGGAAACTGAGGCTCAGCTCCATTAGCTTGGCCAGCAGGTAAGCAGCAGAGTCAGGATCTGAACTTCCGACCAGGGCATTGCACAGTTTCTGGCCAACAAAAGCTACCTGGGTGGCCAGGTTCAGAGCTACTCTCTTCAGGAGCACTTAGTGGCCTTCCAGCCCGTGATAGAGGTCATGTCTCAGAACTTAGTTTCTTCCCCAAGTTTCCCAAGTGCAGATTTCTACTAAATTTTCAGCAATAAGGTAAAGACTTTTAGCAAAAAGTTCACGAGCTGTGTAGGCAGGCTGGATTACAGTAAATTCTGGCTTTTGACTAACTACCTACCTGAACTTGCAGATTACTCACTCCCCACCCCCACCCAGCCCAGCACCATGTGTCTGTGGGAGCGCTATGCAGCTTCCATGAAATGAGGTAAGTAAGGGCAGGTTGCCCTCCATGGCTAGGGCCACTAAAGGGGGAGCCAGACCCACGCGGAGGCTCCAAGGGATTCACGGAACTCAACAATGCTGGGAATGTACTTCCTCCACGCGACTCTGTGCTCATCAATTCTGGTCATCTTCTGGCCAACACTTAGATGCTCCCAGCCAGTCTGAGTGCCTGACTCAGTTCTAACAGTTCTGAGGGCAAAGCCCCTCCACGAGACCACCTCTAGCAGCACAGAGCTCTCTGCAGAACTAATTCATTCTAACTACTGCATGTAATGGATTGTTACTATTTGACTAAAATAATTGTGAAGACTACAGAAATGAGGGGGAAAGGGTTACTTGGAAAGAAAACCTATGATTATGACCTTGCAAAACTCCATAAACATATGACTACAGGTTATATGAGAATAGACAAAATGAAAATAATTGTGAGTTAGAAAACCGTCAATTTCCTTTTTTCAATATCCTTTAATATTCATGATCTTTCAACTTACAAAGTGCACGTTTTAAAAGAAATCTGATGATGAAGACGTTGACTCTTAGGCCCACGCCACTCCCGCATGCTGCCCTCATTCTGCCCGCTGTGTCTTTGACGGGTTCCACTCAGGGGGCAGAAAGGATCATCCCTGGTTGGAAGGGGGCACTTCACTTCTACAAAGCCCAGGGCCACTGGGGTGAAGGGGTGGGAGGGCAGCTTTTCATTCAGCACAGCCTGGCTGAGGCCTTTCACTGAGCACACCTGGGGCAGGAGAAAAGCAAGGCGCAGTCGCCTCTCCTACAGTGCCCTCTTGTGGCAGACCTGCACTACAGCAGCCAGACAAACAGGCCGAGTGCCCACAGCACTGACAAACTACATTAAAGGCTCAGAGTCCAACAAAAAAATGTCAGCGAGAGTCACAGTGCACATTTACATGTCTGTCCTGGGAGAGAGATGTGTCCATCACTTGAGGGGGCAATGTCTAAGAGCAACAGGAAGCTGAGGCCAGTGTCATAAGTGGTTACCGTCCACAGCCAGAGTCCCAGGGCAGGGAGTGGAGCACAGTTCACAATTCAACGTGGCTTCTCAAAGAGGTATTCAAGATCTGGGGCACGCAGTCTCTGTTCTTTGTTTTTGTTTTTAGCAAAGTCTCTCAGCAGTGCCATGACTTCATTTTCAAATATTTCTGGGGCTGGTTTTGCTTCTGCAAGAGAATAGTGGGCAGAAAGAATTATGCCACAAGCAGTCAATGCTCAGACTAAAGTTTTTTTTGGTACCGGGATTGAACTCAGGGGCACTCAACCACTGAGCCACATCCTCAGCCCTATTCTGTATTTCACTTAGAGACAGGGTCTCACTGAGTAGCTTAGCACCTTGCTTTTGCTGAGGCTAGCTTTGAACTCGTGATCCTCCTGCCTCAGCCTCCTGAGCTGCTGGGATTACAGGCATCAGCTCAGACTAAAGATCTTAAAACTTGAAACTCTGGCCTTGGCCAGAAACCACAGATAGATATACAGACTGTCTCCATTCCACTAAATATATGTAACATTAAACTACACCAGGGGTGACAAACCATGTCAGCCTCTATTTGTAAACAGTTATATGGAAACAGCCACTCCTATTTATTTGCACCTGATCTATAGGTTTCTTTTTTCTTTTGCATTACGATGGCAGAACTGAATGTGGCGACAGCATATGGATGCAAGATTAAAACATTTACTATCTGGTTCTCTATGAACAAATTTGCTGACTCTAGACCTGCAAAATTTTGGCTCTACTACTTTGCTTTACATTTAGTCTGTCAGTTGTTTTCTGCGTACAGTAGTCCCACCTGTCCTATAGTTTCATTATCCATGGTTTTAGTTACCTGTCAGAAATATTACATGGAAAGTTCCAGAAGTAAACAATTCATAAGTTTTAAACTGCATGCTATGCCAAGTAGCATGATGAAATCTCATATCATCTTGCTCTAGCCCACCTTAGATATGAATCACCCTTTATCCAGTGTATCCATGCTATACCCACCCATCAGTCACTCAGTAGCTGTTTTTTCAGATTGACTGTAAAATTCTATTTACTTAATAATGACCCCAAAGGATAAATGTAGTGATACAAAGGAGGCACCAGGGCATAAAACACAGGAGGACAGATTAACTTTGGTACTATGCAGCGACACCGCAGAGCACATAGGGAAAACATAGGCTATCCAGGATTAGATATTACCTAGTTTCAGGCCTCCACTGGGATCCTGAAATGTATTCCCCATTGCAAAGAGGGATTAATGAATTGTGTTTCCTTTATACATTCCCTCAAATAAAAGCTCTTTATCCATTAGAAGTCCTTGATTATAAGTGAAAAAAACTTAATAACTCTAGCAACTGAAGCACAAAGGAATTTATTGGAGGATTATTAGAACTCATAAAACTAACCTGAACCTGGAAAACCACATGTCGGTGAGCAGGCAACAAGGCAGCACGGAGAGCAGAAAAACAAGAGTACCAGGCTCAGCCAAGCAGCGGCAATCAGGTGGTGCGCTGCCAGCGCCAGTCTGTCTTTCACCCTTGCTTAAGATGCCAATTAGAGGGGGGCTGGGGCGATAGCTCAGTTGGTAGAGTGCCTGCCTAGCATTCACAAGGTCCTGGGTTCAATCCTCGCACTACCCCCCCCCCCCACACACACGATGCCAATTAGAAACAAAGCCTCTCACTGGCAAAGCTTAGGTAAGGCACTCCAGAATTACCCACCTATCAAGACTCAGTACAACGCTAGGGAGGGAATTCCTTGAAACTAAGTTAGATTCCCCCAACTCAGCACAGGGTTGGGCTGGTAAGTGTTCTGGGCTTTTTGTGACAATGGACTCCTCAAGGAAAAGGGGGACCCAAGAAATCTAGGCCTCCTCCTAGCATGTAGAAAGTTGGAAAGAACATCAAGTTCACGTTAACAATAAGGAAACGCCAGAAAATGAGAAATATCATGACTTTTCTTGAAGTTGCCGGAGAGCTGGGGTCACGAGGCAACCGAACTAACGGATAAGGAATGAGAAGCCCTGAGAGGGAAAGCTGCTCCATTCCTCTCACCTGTCGGGGCACAGGGCGAAGACTCTGGGTGGGACACAGACAGATGAGAAGTCAGTAAAACTTCTAGGAACTGTCCAAGCCCAGCGTGTGCTGGCCTGAGCCCTGGGAGCCGCACAGCCAAGGAGAGCTTGCACCCTCCCTGGGTTCTTCCTAAGAAGCCTCCGCTGGCACCTCCTGATGAAGACGGTAAGGAGCAGGAGGCTGGCGGAAGCTCCCTCAGTGACCCAGCCCACAAAGGGGGAGTAGCCCAGGTGGTAAAAGAGCACAAGGCCCAGGCCAGGTCCTCCTCCTCTACAGAACAAAAGCCTCCAGTGGCCAAGTACAGGCAAGAAAACCCTGTCTCCCACAGCGTGCAGGGGAGGACCCACGCAGGCTGGAAGAAGGCTGGAAGAACAACAAGAAACTCTAACCCCTGGGAGGGGACAGCATCATGGAGAACTACAGCTCCAGGAGCCAGGCCCACGCATGACCTGAAGCCTAGGCTGCACAGGGATAAGAAGGAAGGCCCTCCCAACTACTCCTCCTCCAGACTAGCAAGCACCACAAGGAAAGCACCGCTGGGGGAGGGCAAGACAAAGAGAGCGTCCATGTGGGGCAAAAGAAGTACAGGGAAGACTGAGAGTTGAGGGCAGAACAGGAATATGGAGAAATGCCCTGGGAAACAGCTTGTACCCCGAGTACTAGATGCTCAGAAACCAAACCAAATCAAACAGAGAGCTTGTCTTCTAATCCACTGACTTGATCCTCTGTAGAACAGCCTAGGAGAAGTACGCCCACTTCAAGGCATAATAAACCCCCAGCCAGAGTCTCTAATGTCTTACCCATGACATCAACATCAATTAAATACGATGATACACAGTCAGAAAATTAGGAAAAACAAAACAAATATACTATCAACACAAAGAGATCAACAGAAACAGACTCAAGGAGAACTCAGATGTTAGAACTAGGAGACAGGGGATTTAAAGTAACCATGACTGCTAGGCGTGGGGGCACATGCCTGTAATCTCAGTGACTGGGGAGGATTGCAAGTTCAAGGCTGGCTTCAAAACTCAACAAAACCCATCTCAAAAATAAAAAATAAAAAGAGCTAGAGATGTGGCTCAGTGGTTAATCACCCTTGGGGTAAATCCCTGGTACCCAAAACCAAAAAGTAAAAATAGAAATAAAATAACTATAACTTGTATTAAAGGTTCTAGTGGAAGAAGCAGACAAAATGTACGGACAGATGAAGAATTCCAACAGGGAGCCAGAAACTCTAACAGTCAAATAGAAATGCTAAAAATAGATAGGCAGACTGACTCAATAGGCTTATCCTGAGATTTGACATAAGGAAATAATCAGGAGGATAGGTCAAAAGATATCACCCAGTGCAAACTACCCAAGCAAACATTCAAAGAGTAAAAAACACAAATGAGAATCCAAAAACCGTGAGATATTAAATTGCCTAATCTAAATGCAAGTGAAATCCCAAAAGAAAAGGGAATGGATGACACAAAAGGGATAACAGTGAATTCTCCAACAACAATGAAAAATACCAAAACACAGATCCAACAGAACCCCTTGTAGGATAAATACCAAAACAAATGACACCCAGACACATTGCTATAGTCCGGATCTATTCTTCAAAGGACAGCGTCCACTATGTGTTAAAGGCTTTGTCCCACCTGGTACTATTGAGAGGTGGCACAAACTTTTAAGAGGCGGGGCCCACTGGAGGTCTTCCGGTCACTGGGGCAAGCTCTTGAAGAAGATAGTGGAAAGCCAGCCTCCCTGACTGCCCCAGCTCTTGCCCAGTTTCCTGACTATGGTGAGCCCTTTGCTTTGCTGCCTGCTTCCTGCCATCATATCCTGCCTTGCCACAGGCCCAAAACCAATGGGCCAACTAACCATGGACTGAAACCTCCAAACTGTGAGCCAAATAAGCCTTTCCAAAGTGAGGTGTGGTGGAACGTGTGCACAGTCCCAGCTCCTCAGGAGGCTGAAGGAGGAGGATTGCTTGAGTCTAGGAGTTCAGAGCCAGCCTGGGAAGCCCTCTCTTGGTGCTGGGGGGTGGGAAGCCTGCACACATTATAGGCAAGTGCTCTACCACTGAGCTAAAACCTCAAGCCAAGACTTCATTTCTTTTTTTTTTTTTTTAATATTTTTTTTGAGAGAGAGAGAGAGAATTTTTAATATTTATTGTTTAGTTTTTGGCGGATACAACATCTTTGTATGTGTTTGTATGTGGTGCTGAGGATTGAACCCGGGCCGCACGCATGCCAGGGGAGCGCACTACCGCTTGAGCCACATCCCCAGCCCAAGACTTCATTTCTTAAATGTAAATAAGTTAAATTAAATAAAGCTTTTCTTTGTAAGTTGATCATCTCTGAGATAGTGACAGAAAACTAACACACACATCATATTCCAACAGCTACAAACTAATGATAAGATACTGAAAACATTCAGAAAGAAGATATATTATAGAGAAAGAAACAACAATACAATAGACCTCTTATCTGCAACTAGGCAAACCAGAAAGCAGCGCATTTCAACACTGTAGGAATCTGAAGCTGGTGATGACTGAAAGGAAGTGAAGCAAAGACAAACCCAAGTGCAGCTAAACTCAGGTCAAGACAACTTGATTGTGCACACGAACGGGCTAGAATTAGAAGTGTGCCCGCATAAAGTGCCAGGGGAAAAAACCCACAAACTTACAACTCTATATCCAATGCCAAGATAATTCCAAACAGCCAACTTGTACTACAAGAAATATCAAAGGCAGTTCTTCAGGCAGAAGGATTATGGTACCAGACAGAAACACAGATTTATATAAAGAAATTTATATCTCCAGAAATAGTTAAAATGAAGGAAAATATAAAATACATTTTGTATTCTTTTCCTTAGTTAGACTGTCCTAAGTAAAACAATAGAAACGTGCTGTCGCTTACAGCATGGGTAAAAATACAGATGAGCACCAGAGATGAGAGCAGGACCTGGTGTGTGCTGGGAAGCCTTGACGTCACACACGAAGTCACATTTCCTTTTCTTTACAATACTGGGGATGGAACCCAGGGTGAGCATATTCTAGGCCAGTGGTCTACCTCTAAGCCACATCCCTAGCCCTTTTATTTTTTTGAGATAGGGT